CGGGTAGACGCTCTATCCACTACACCACGGAGGCGAACTATACCTTTGAAGAAAATGAAACCGGGTTCACAGCGTGACAAGCGAGCACTACACCATATAATCTACCCGATAACAACAACATGCACCCAGTGAAAGCCTACCTTGGCTGTGCCCACCATGGAGAATCAGCTCACACACGCACGCTCCAGGTCGCTGAGATGGAGGCGGGTGTTTACTCGGCAGGGTTGCGTGCTAGGTACATCGTTTGTGCATGTCTCAGCAAGTGACAGTCTATCATTACCTCGCAGGCCTCCCATTAACGGAGAGGTTAGACTGACCCTATTGCAATATTAAAACAGACCTGACATTGGCTTTGGCTTGATCATACAAGATCAGGTAAAGCAAACATGCATTTCAGATCATGAATAGAAGAGTGTACTTTAAAAAACGATCAAAGTGAAACCTAATTATAGCATCAGTGATGGTGCTCTTGCTCGTGTTCTGCGCATGCTCAAAACTGAAACCAGAGGTGTCAGTCACGGGAAGAGGAAACATATAACGTCAATGCAAGGAGTAACCAGTCTCGATTGTCCGCCGTAATTCATTGGGCGTAAACGGCAAAATATGGAGGTGAAAATTATATGAATGGATCACTGAAAATCAGTGATGACACCTGGGTCAACTTGCACAAAGCGATCTTAGCGTTACAATTATTGTAAATCCTTAAGATCGCGATCTTAGGCTTACGCTACAATCGTCATCCACTTGCACAAAGCGATTGTAGGTTAAGATCATTGTAAGCTACAATCGAAACTTACAATTGGTCCAGACCAATCTTAAGTAGCTAAGATCGTTGTAGTCCCTGACAAAATGGCGTGCAAGACAGGGCCAGTTTCACATTAATAATCGGCTTTACGATCAAACACTGCCTCTTTATTTTGTTAGATTTTATGATTCGAATCGACACTTCAACAACACGAAGACCGCACCACAGATTTAACGTCAAAAATATCGTTAATTGCGATAGTGAACCACATAACTATCGAGTCGATAGTTAAAAGTACTATTCCCACCCGTGTCAATGCTGAAAGAAGTCTAAAACAACATACCTTATTAAGGGAAGGATAAAACCTAAGTCGTCTGCAAGCGATTTGTAACGTCCGTGACCTTTAAGATAAATCAAGGGCAGCTAATCATAGTTTATATTCTAGATGGGAGTGGTTTCCCTTTGTATAAGTATCGTAGAATCTACCTTGCCCAGTGTATTAATGTTGTAGAACCGCCGAGCTCCCCTTGTATATCTTTTGGGTCACATTCGTGTCAGTTATTTTGTCTTTAGTTTATCATTAAATTAATCTACAAGTAAACACAAGTTGAAGTGCAAAATCATACGTTTATATCTAAAATCGAGTGGGACAGTCACGAGCGGTTGTAATATCTGAATTTATAAGAAACTAATACAAATATTCATCAAACAAGCAAATACACATGATGAGACATTTGAAATTTGTGTAAAATATCCCATAAATAGCAAAAGTAAAATTCACACTTTTTAAAAAATATAATTAATACCAAATGAATATATATTAAACAACTTCTTTCTTGAAACATTATTCTTATTTCCCGTCCATGCATTCTTGAAATCTCCCTCTTACTGTGTTTTGAAAAGGTTGTCATAACATCCTTTGTAAAAGCGGCAAAACTAAAACATGAAGGATATACATGTATTTAGGATTTTACGGAAAGCTCCCACAAATAGATGACGATCATACATTTTCCTGTTATGTTATTTGGACATAGAGATCTATTATTATTTTCTATTTTTACTTTCATAATAAGAAATGTCACTAAATCTATATGCCAACATACTAATTATAGTTTCCTTCAAGTTGAGACCTTTCAACTGTGCAAGGTGCGTGGAGGGAGGTACGTGTTGTATGTCGTAACCGGTTCCACACGTTGTATGCGCAGCAAGATTTGCGCGTTTGCAGACAACCATAGACAGGAGTCTAGTTTAAGATATTTGTACCTCCACCATTGAAGATTTCAATCTTAGTTAAGATCGCGATCTTAAATCCAAGCCGTCTTACAATCGCGTTAAGATCGGTTTGTGCAAGTGGAATAGGACAATTGTAGGGTGATTGTTAAGTTGATTGTAGCTGCCTAAGATCGATTGTAACTAAGATTGTTCTGTGCAAGTAGGCCAAGGAGTTCGCGAAAAGGGTAAGCATGTCCTGCATTTCTGGGAGCACCTGCCACTCACATAGTTTGTATAAAAACGCGGTCTACCGCCTACACTCACCAGCCCACGCTTAACTTGAGTACAGCGTGGAGACGAAAAGAACATATCTGTCTGACTCATCACAACCAGCTCTGCGCTTTATGAAACCTGTAACATTGAGCAAGGTGTCCCGGGCGAATACAAAGGGAAACCCAGGCGTCAATCTGGTGGTTGGTGATACGGTAGCCTTGTGGGTAAGCGTTCGCTCGTCACGCTGAAGCCCCGAGTTTGAATCTCATCATAGATGGGCGGAGCATGATACAGTAGCCTTGTGGGTAGGCGTTCGCTCGTCACGCTGAAGCCCCGAGTTTGAATCTCATCGTAGATGGGCGGTGGGTGATACAGTAGCCTTGTGGGTAAGCGTTCGCTCGTCACGCTGAAGCCCCGAGTTTGAATCTCATCATAGATGGGCGGAGCATGATACAGTAGCCTTGTGGGTAGGCGTTCGCTCGTCACGCTGAAGCCCCGAGTTTGATTCTCATCGTAGATGGGCGGTGGGTGATACAGTAGCCTTGTGGGTAAGCATTCGCTCGTCAAGCTGAAGTCCCGAGTTTGATTCTCATCGTAGATGGGCAGTTGGTGATACAGTAGCCTTGTGGGTAAGCATTCGCTCGTCAAGCTGAAGTCCTGAGTTTGATTCTCATCGTAGATGGGCGGAGCATGATTCTCATCGTAGATGGGCGGTGGGTGATACAGTAGCCTTGTGGGTAAGCGTTCGCTCGTCAAGCTGAAGTCCTGAGTTTGATTCTCATCGTAGATGGGCGGTGGCGTAGCCTTGTGGGTAAGCGTTCGCTCGTCAAGCTGAAGCCCCGAGTTTGGTTCTCATCGTAGATGGGCGGTGGGCGATACAGTAGCCTTGTGGGTAAGCCTTCGCTCGTCAAGCTGAAGTCCTGAGTTTGATTCTCATCGTAGATGGGCGGTGGGCGATACAGTAGCCTTGTGGGTAAGCCTTCGCTCGTCAAGCTGAAGTCCTGAGTTTGATTCTCATCGTAGATGGGCGGTGGGTGATACAGTAGCCATGTGGGTAAGCGTTCGCTCGTCACGCTGAAGTCCTGAGTTTATACCACAACGTAGGTATCTGGGACCATTTGATTAACATGAGTAGTGGGAGAGCCAAGTGGTTAAAGTTCATATTTGCTACACAGTATATGTTGTTTCATTTCACAATACCGAAGCACATTCGCCACGCTCTGTATTCATGTTGAGCCCCTACTATGCATATTTATCTCCGATGATAAATTGTGTGATGCATACCGAGGTGACGGATGAGGTTGTGCGGGGCAATGTCGGTACTGGGTGACAGTCTTAAGAAGTGCAATGTAAGACCCAAAAAAACAGTTTACACCACATTCAGATGTGGCCTGCGTCGAGGGGTCCTCGAGCAGTCAAGCATACAGCCATGACACAAGAAATGACAGTAATTGCTGTCCCGGTTGACACGGAGGTATATGCCGTGTGAAACAAGAACACTTTGCAACCCGGCACTCGCTGTGTCGCGCTGAAAACCTGAACTATGTCAGCAAAATATATTAACACATGTCGTATGCCAATGGGCTGTATCCAATCCTGCGCCATGACTGTGGAATATATTTATTTTATGGAAAAAACACAATCTAGAAACGTATACAAATTTTAAAGCAAGTCTAGCCAGCTCCAGCCAGCTCTATTAAATCAGTATTGGGAAAATGTTTATTTATTTATTTTTAGAGTCAAGAAGGGTATTGTGTAATATAAGATTTCATAGACTTAATGTTAGTCTAGGCTGTATCCAATCGTGACCAACTCGTGTTATTCCGGGACAAGCCGAATAGCGACTTGTGCCCCTCTCGGCCATTTTTGAGACCGGGTTCCGTCTTAGCGCAAACGGGCATACTTAAAACAATTGTAAACTCGTTGCGTAATGCTTTTACATATATATCCCAATATATCATCTATATATCAGATGCAACTTAAAGCACATCTGGACATGCAGAATTCTTGGGAATAATTTTAGATGCAAGACATGTAAAATCAAAAAGTATTTCTGAGGGATTCTTTGACGAAGAACTTGAAATTATACGCGCATTCTGATTGGTTTGTCGTATTTTCGCCCATAACATTCATCGATAGGGGGACGAGTCTTCTTGCAGGTTACGGAAAGGGGCGAGTGGTGACGAATGGGCTGTACCCAGTGACCAATGTACTAGCAGAGTGCCAGATAAGATGCGTATTTGTGTATAATGCGCAAAATAAATGACCATTATCCAATTAATTTTGAGTTGCTTGCGCACAAATATGCATAAAAAATCCAATAGTTTAACAACACGGTATTCCTCTCAACTGGCGTATCTGTATTTCTATAAAGATCTGTGTTAACTAATAGAACACCGGCACCACACGAACATGAACACAACTGCTGTGAATAATGCATAGAAAGGGCCAAAGTCTCGCTTGTTGGTTATTAGACATGTATATGGCTGTTGTAAGTTTTGGCGATATGTTACGGATGGACACAATTACAAATACAAACCAGTACACAAATGAAACAATATTTTAGGCAGAGTCATTAAAAAACTGCCAACATACTGGAGTAAAAATACACATTGAACTGGACCCAACAAAGCCAACATATATTGAACAGCCAAAGATATCTATCTATACCCAGTGGAGATGATAACGTTTGAGTACTTAGTTTACTCAATGGTTGAAAATATTATCTGGAGCCAGAGATAGATCGTACAACAGGTACATGCGCACTCACCGCCGCTACTCGCCCACTGCTATTCGCCCACCGCTACTCGCCCACCGCTACTCGCCCACTGTGTCAGTCTGGCTTCACAGTACACATCGTCCGCCAGCTACCTGCAACACAGAAATACAAGTTTATAACCACAAGAATACAAGTTTACAAACACCGTGCCACAGGAATACAAGTTTATTACGACAGGAATGCAAGTTTATAACCACCATGCCACAGGAATACAAGACTAGTTTATAACCATTGTGCCACAGGAATACAAGTTTATAACCACAGGAATACAAGTTTATAACCACCGTGCCACAGTAATACAAGTTTATAACCACGGGAATACAAGTTTATAACCACCGTGCCACAGGAATACAAGTTTATAACCACGGGAATACAAGTTTATAACCACCGTGCCACAGGAATACAAGTTTATAACCACCGTGCCACAGGAATACACAAGTTATGGAACATATATTACTGCAGAGGAATACAACCGTAATGCAACATGGATTTATTGCAGAGGAATACAACCGTAATGCAACATGGGTGTATTGCAAAGGAATACTACCGTCATGACACATATTCAACCGTTGTGGCCCCTGTATACAGCAGTAATGACACAGGAATACAACTTTTACTACACAGTAATAAACTGCTTCAGCACCGGTTAGAAGTCGAATCGTCAGCGCTACAAACACATCACTTGGATCAAAGATCAGGATCTGAATCAGGATCCGACTTCTGGTCTTATTGTTTCTGCATGCATGTACGTTCAGCTGAAATGTGCCCCCTGGCGGAGAAACGGGGTGTTCATGACAGTGTACATCCTTTTATCAAACGCTGTTCAGTCTACGTACAATACGGTAGGTTCTGAAACCGCGGTTATTTAGGTCCGTGCCTAAACTAATCCTAGTGAGAAGGACCCTAGTGAGTTCGAATCAGTTTCTGGTAAAACAAGACACATGCGGCGATCGCTAGGTTCTCATGACTTACGAACCTGTCCCACTCTGGTGGACCGCCAATGTGGTCACCGTGACATCATGTATCAGTTTGTCTGATTGTTTGTTTGTTTGCACTCTGCAATATTCCACCAACATGACGGCGGTCTGTAAATAATCGTGTCGGGACGAGACAACCCAGTGATTGATATCATGAGCATCAATCCAAGCAATTGGAATACGATGACATGCATCAACCAAGTCAGCGAGCCCTACCACCCGATCACGTTAGTTGCCTTTTACGGCAAGAATGGGTTGCAGAAGACCTGTTCTACCCCGGATCTTCACGGGTCCAACATGTATCAGATCAGCCTGCCCATCCTAATGGATCAGCTGTCAGTTCTATGGTCACCGTGACAACATGTATCAGATCAGGCTGCCCAACCAAGTGGATCAGCTGTCAGTTCTATGGTCACCGTGACAACAAGTATCAGATCAGGCTGCCCAACCAAGTGGATCAGCTGTCAGTTCTATGGTCACCGTGACAACATGTATCAGATCAGCCTGCCCAACCAAGTGGATCAGCTGTCAGTTCTATGGTCACCGTGACAACATGTATCAGATCAGGCTGCCCAACCAAGTGGATCAGCTGTCAGTTCTATGGTCACCGTGACAACATGTATCAGATCAGCCTGCCCAACCAAGTGGATCAGCTACTACTACTGCGGCCATCGTGGCTACACGTATCAGATAAGCTTGATGAAAGGTCACTTGCTGCAGTCCCACTGTCAAGGTCACTGTCGGCGTCTGTCTCTACGATGGTCGCCGAGGTACTCTGTAATCGGAATCTCCACGCATCACTGTGTTCCGGTATCTATCTACACACTGTCCCGTCTCAACATTCCACTGGGAGCACAATACAGTAACCACGTGGCCGAGCAACGCTGGCCACTGGGGAGGAGAAAACTGACCAGTGTCCAGTTCTTGTGTCTTGGTGGACCCGTATTAGCATCTAATTGGTCGCATTAACTAAGGAGGCCCTTAACGACATGGGATGTTCACGGGGAAGGGGGAATTGAAGGTTAAAGGGCGGTGGTGAAGGTTTCGGATGTTGAGGATGCATTTCGTTCAGAATCTGGGGAGAATAATGAGCGACGAAAACTGCCCCCGATTATAATAAAACGTACACACAGGCAAGAAAAAGCGTCACGTTTCATCCACGGGGAGAATCGAAGCTGGTTCTTTCACGTGGCGAACACTTATCAAATAGGCTTCTCTGATTTTATAAACTTGTCAAAAAATATTCACGAAAAATGAATTCGTCAGCATCCGCTTAAGCGTATTGTTTGTCTATTGTTTAACGCCACACTCAGCAATATTCCAGATATATGACGACGGTCTGTAAATAATCGTGTCGGGACCAGACAATCCAGTGATTGATATCATGAGCATCAATCCAAGCAATTGGAATACGATGACATGCATCAACCAAGTCAGCGAGCCCTACCACCCGATCCCGTTAGTTGCCTCTTACGACAAGCACAGCCGCCTTTTACGTCAAGAATGGGTTGCAGAAGACCTGTTCTACCCCGGATCTTCACGGGTCCAACATGTATCAGATCAGCCTGCCCATCCTAATGGATCAGTACTGTGGTCACCGTGACAGCATGCACCAAATCAGCCTGCCCACCCTAGTGGATCAGCTGTCAGTTCTATGGTCACCATGACAACATGTACCAAATGAGCCTGCCCACCCTAGTGGATCAGCTGTCAGTTCTATTGTCACCGTGACAACATGTATCAGATCAGCCTGCCCACCCTAGTGGATCAGCTGTCAGTTCTATGGTCACCGTGACAACATGTATCAGATCAGGCTGCCCAACCAAGTGGATCAGCTACTACTACTGCGGCCATCGTGGCTACACATATCAGATAAGCTTGATGAAAGGTCACTTGCTGCAGTCCCACTGTCAAGGTCACTGTCGGCGTCTGTCTCTTCGATGGTCGCCGAGGTACTCTGTAATCGGAATCTCCACGCATCACTGTGTTCCAGCATCTATCTACACACTGTCCCGTCTCAACATTCCACTGGGAGCACAATACAGTAACCACGTGGCCGAGCAACGCTGGCCACTGGGGAGGGGAAACTGACCACTGTCCAGTTCTTGTGCTTTGGTGGACCCGTATTAGCATCTTCAAGTGAATAACGTGTATCTAATTGGTCGCATTAACTAAGGAGGCCCTTAACGACATGGGATGTTCACGGGGAAGGGGGAATTGAAGGTTAAAGGGCGGTAGTGAAGGTTTCGGATGTTGAGGATGCATTTCGTTCAGAATCTGGGGAGAATAATGAGCGATGAAAACTGTCCCCGGTTATAATAAAACGTACACACAGGCAAGAAAAAGCGCCACGTTTCATCCACGGGGAGAATCGAAGCTAGTTCTTTCACGTGGCGAACTCTTATCAAATAGGCTTCTCTGATTTTATAAACTTGTCAAAAAATATTCACGAAAAATGAATTCGTCAGCATCAGCGTATTGTTTGTCTAGTGTTTAACGCCACACTCAGCAATATTCCAGATATATGACGACGGTATGTGAATAATCGTGTCGGGACAAGACAATCCAGTGATTAATATCTTGAGCATCAATCTACGCAATTGGGATACGATGACATACATCCACGAAGTCAGCGAACCTGACCATCCGATCTCTTTAGTCGCCTTTTATTACAAGCATGGGTTGCTGAAGACATATTCTAACCCGGACGGGCTCTTAACCGCCAGTTACAGCCTTTCAGCACCCAAATCGGCTTCCCACTTTATGTTCTAAACATTACATTCCTCTGCCACATACAATTATGGATAAGGGGTCATATGGCCCTCTGCCTCTCAGCTGAGGACTGCGGACAATTCTCAGGTCCAAGGCAGCATAACATATTAAAACAATTGAAATATAACAAAACAGATCTCACTTCTAAATTATGTCTATGTATTTATATATATATATGATGGCTATAGTGGCATGATCTCATGTCAGGTCAAGTCAGAGCCAAATATCACAAAATCATACAAATACATTTAGAAGCTGACTGCAAACAACTTGTGTACCATATCGCAGTTCATTAGAGGTGAATATGTGTTATTGATGCATATTGTACAAATGGCTGCTACGGAACATCGCAGGACAACAGGTCTGTGGGCTACAAATTTGATAATAATGAAACAGTTACTGCATAATAAGAATATATCCAGTCAAAGTGCATATCCTAATCAAATGACTTATATACATTAATCACGAAATAATGTTCCTTGTAACCATGTCCGTTTATAGAATAGTTACATTCACTATATATACAATAACAAAAAATGTATTTACAAAACGTAAGGTATACAAATTCAAGTGGACTCCCCTATTCCCGGGGGAAAGTACATTGCAAATCAGCCAGATCCCGAGGGTGACAATCGAATGGAGGAGGGCACATGCCCCTACATCAAACCCTGTGTAGCCACCATCAACGGAACAGCCAGATGGATGGGAGTCCCATGGGACATGCGCTCCCTCCAAGCCCTAATAACTGCACCATCAGAAGAGCTCTCTACTATAAATTCTTGAAAATAATTGACAACTGTAACGGGTGGTAAATACCAGAATATGTTCAAAAGAAGATCAGACTGGGTGATGGGGAGCATGTTGTCTTCCATCACAGACAAATAATGCCGGAATGTGTGTTGACACTTGTGCGAACAAAATACCCAAATGAGCCATATATGGGACACAAGTGGTGGCGAACTGACTTTGTTATTTTTCTCTTTGTATATATAAAATTATATTATCATTGATATTCTTTCAAAAACTGCAATTAATTTCTTTGGGGAAAATCAAAATTTTGTAAAGCATAACACAGTAATGAAACTCTTGGCATCATGTAACTGACTATGGCAATACAGTATCTTTATCAGACAAGTGATTGTGTTTTGTTTACATAAAGAGTGTAATTGCTCCTAAGAGGTCAAATTAGTGACTTGTGCTGTGTCTCAAAGTCGACAGGCCTTCCGTTCCCTCCTGGAGGAAAAAGTGGCGCGAAGTGAGTTTGGATTTATCCTGCTCTGAACAGTTTTCCAGTTATGTCACGGCTTGTCAGCTTAATTTGAAAGGAAAGCCCGAAGTATTCG